AATGCTTTCAACGCTTCGCACATTCACTTGAATGGGGTGACGTAGAACAGGGGTTTTCAAAGTGTGGGTAGGTGAGCCTCCCCTCAGAGAACATAAGAACAGCCGCGCCCCCCCTCCCAATTATTATTGCTGTTATTATTATTATTATTATTATTATTATTGTCGTTGTTGCTATAATGCAGGGGTATTCAATTGCATTTCAAAGAGGTCCAGTAAGAGAAAATGTAATTAAATGCTCTGTTTTCGCTGTCTACCTTCCGCCATTTGAAATTACTCCGACTGTTTCTCTCCTCTTGTCGTGTCTCTGTGTGTGTTTGAATCTATCGTGCTGACTGCACCGATTTGATTGGCTGAGTAGCTTCACCTCCTTAAAACATTAAACAATAACTTTTTTAAACCTTTTTATTTTTATGTTTTAAACATATTGTATAAAACTCCCCCACTACTTGGACTATTCCTTGCACCCCTCTAGAATAAGCCCGAATGGTCTCAACCATATTGCATCAGTAACGTGCACTTGTTATTATAACAAGATCGCAAGGACGCTGATCGGAAAATTGAGTGTTGTTCAGTTTGTGTGTTGTGGAACATGCGTGTCCGTGCATGAAAATATACCACACACCCAATTACAATTGCATGTTCAATTCACTACCCTGGAAGTTAATACAGTTGTTAAAGTTGGAACAGCCTGTGGACAGCCGTTCTTCCTTGTATGTCAGTCGCCGACACCTTCTTACAGAGGACAGGCACATCTAGCTGCAGCACGACCCGTATATTTCTGCACGCCGTGTTCTCAAGACATATTTTTTTTAACATTTTCAACATGGTGGATACATTTGTATATGCTCCCGGTAACACACTGAACGTTAACTTTGCCTCCTTATTACACTCACCCCTACCTTAGTGGGAACAATGACTCTGCGTCTTTGATGCACAGAGGAATAAACGCAGATCATCCTCTGGCTGCAGCCTTGACCGGTACTTGCTTTTGATTAAAGTCAATGCGGAAAACCTGCACTCACACAGGTAGGTGGAGGTGAAGGGAATGAGCACTTTTACAGCCTTTTTGGCGAGGTGGGGGAACTCGGTCTCCACAGACAGCCACAAGTGGGCAAGTGTCGCTTTACTCGTCTTTTTCTCGTTCTTTTGTGTCTCA